GGCCTGTATTGCACAAATGACGTGAATAAGTGAAGAAAGATGAGCCGGCGAAAAAAAATTCAGCAAGTCGCACACCATGACACATGCCAAGTAGTCCAGCTACAATAACGACGATGATGATCACAATGATTACTTTCTGTAAAAAAGCTCATCATCTTCATCTTCTCAACTACAAGCATAATCCTATCATCTACCATCATCCCCATTTATCTTATTTCTATAGTTCCTCCACCCTCTAGTCACGTCTCCTAAATGATTTCTTACTCTATTAATTCTACTAATACTGCTCCTCATCCTTTTCGTCGAAAGAAAGAAAGAATGAAGAAAGAAAGAAAGAAAGAAAGAAGAAAGAAAGAAAGAAAGAAAGAAAGAAAGAAAGAAAGAAAGAAAGAAAGAAAGAAAGAAGTAGCTAGGAAAAAATACAGAGCAGTCCTCCGGGCTCCACACTGTACCTAAAGACCTGGCACCACTGATGCGAAGCTGCCTTCAATATTTTTTTAGCAGATGTGCATTCTTTTTCTTTTTCTGTTTTTTTACTGCTTGAGCGAGATCACACCTGTATACTGTATTCACCATATATTTTATCATCTTAGAGTTACTTTGGTAACATTATGTGATATGTTCTTCTGGATTTTAATTATTCTGAACCTACTTATGAGCCATCGCGCTGCCGCACCCTTGTTTGTGCCCTAACGTCTCTTTACATGCTATCAGTGTGAATAATAAAAAAAAGCACTCATTATGAACTGTGCGCCACCAGAACAGTACTACACACTTGTTTGAGTACAATATCGACAAGATTACAGGAATCTATATGGTGTTGAGCGCAAGTACATTAGGTCTAAGTATTGTCGCGTTAGTTGTGCCCGCGTCATGAATTTGTCATAGCAGCGTGGGCTCGAAGAGCCACGAAAAAAAAAGCCATAAGAAGGGGTGGGGGGGGGGGGGCAAGTTTCGCAGAATCAACGGCTCTTTTTGAGCGTTATTTTTCTTCATATAGCAAACGAGGTCACGTCGCCTGATCTTGCTTCGCAGACCGTGACATGGTCACGTCAGTGGCCCTGTTCAAAGGCACGTATTCGATCTTGTCATATGAGGGACGGAATTCGCTTCCTTTGAGCTCAGTGATGCACCGGTCGAACAAATGAAAGCTTGAACTAGTGCGCTGTACGCGTACAACAGAATGCGAATTGTTGCTCCGTGACAAATGACTGCTAAAGCGTGCATCGTTTGATTGTTGTTCAGTGTAGAGCCCATACAAAACCATTTCACGAAGGTACTTATTGTCAGCGAGGAAATAAGAAAAATACCATTTTACGTATGGCGAAAAAAAAAAGAAAACACCAGCCTATAGTTTTTCTTTTTTTTTCAGCTGACAGCTCAGTTAATTGATCGAAAGGGCTCGGGTCACAGTGCAATTGCGTGGTATATGTGTCCCAGATATTGACCATGGCGAATGCCTTACTGCTACAGTTCTACGAACGAAATTAAAGCAGTTTGCTTTGGTAGTTCGAATACTGAACTCCCCCCCCCCCCCAATATATTTCTAGTGCTTAAGATTAAAACGAAAAAAAAAGTGTTCTTGCTGTCCCTTTTCCTTTCCGTGTCATCACAGCTTTCCTTTTTCGTTGAACCACTGGAAACACATCAGACTTCTACAAACAACGTTTTGTGATGGTCGTAGTAAGCATTTTGCGCTAGTATAAGTATGAACGTAGTAATTCATTCAGTTTCCTTTTAAAGGTATGTGTAACCAACACGCACATATTGCAGTTTTATTTGATCGATGTGTAGATACGCAATAAGTGCAATGTATAATATTCAGTATCGCCATAATAGAACAATAGAAAGTCTCAGAAAAACAAATAATGTCTTAATGTAACAAGTTATGTGGTAAGCATGACGCGCACACATCATTTCAGTGAAAGTACACGGTCACACATAATGCAGTGTTCATAGCAGCGGTCATTATTGCTTATTCTTATTTGAAGATCTCATGAGAACTATGGTAATCTCTTCATTGACAAATGCACAAGAAATTTACGATTACGATAACCAACAGTGGCTTTACCACCAGTCCGAATATGAAATGTCATCTTTTGAAGGTTTTATTAAGTATAGGACATCTCGAAGAACAATTACATCTCCACTGCACATTCGCTACATCAATGTAGTAAAGGCGTTTTGAGAGAGAGTAGATTGCATCATTAAGTTTATACACATTGTTCATGTGACTATTCTTTTTTTTTGTCGCGCGTGCGTGTTTTTTTTTTCCTTTTTTATAACTTTCCTCATCTCTTTCCTTCTTTCTTCCCTTATTTACTCTCTGCCTCCCTTCCGAAGGAGCAGGCAGGCTTTGTGCCCCTATAGGTGGCAGTTGTCAGCTTATTCCTTCCCTATTTCCTCTGTATTCATGTTCTCTAAGTACTCAAACCAAATATATAAACAATAATATATGCAGCGAGGACGATCTATAGCTTCGGCAGTTCTCTGAAAGAAAAAAATATATGCTTAAGCCAGCCTAACTGCTCACTTTCGTAACTAAGCAGGAATTTTAAGTAGACAGGTTAGACCTGTCTTCCCTTACGCTTTCCAGTGCAGTTTTTTTATTTGTCGCGTTTCCAACAGAATCGGTCGCTAGCTATTTCCTATGCTGTCATTACAACCAATGTAAATGATTGATAATACGTGACCTCAAGCACAATTTGTGCCACTTTCTGCTGAAAGCACGCAGGATACTCAAATACTTTGGCTGTTAGTGCAAACGGTGCATCTTGATTACTGTTCCCAACGACGTCACTCACTTACTCAGTGTTACGTACGTTTGGAAGTTTCTGTGACTTTTTTTTCTCTAAATCAACTGTGCCATAACTCGCGAATTAAAAGAGAAGTATATATCGATTGACGAAAAACATGGAGCATAAGTATATTTCTAAGCAGACTCGTCACTTTCTTGGTCGCGACTGCCGGATTTTTTCGGTACGAGGCCTGTCCAGGCGTCGTACCAGTGCCAGCTACGGCTAAATTGAACGAGTAAAATACGAACGTGCAGCGGGATAACTTTGGCTACACCGTCAAAACAAAGGGTTCGGGCGTACAACTAAAGCGAGGCGCATCAGGAACCGAGTAAGCCTTCGCATACCACGGCTCTTCGCAATAATGCCATCAGGGGGCGCAAGCATTTGACATCGGATAAAGGCAGCTTACGCCGCCGTGTGCCATGCGAAATGGTCACCGCGTGCTTTTGCGTATACGGTCACAACAAAGAACACCGAAAGGCCATTTGTTCGCCCTGAAGCATGGCAGTCGAGATGCGATAGTTTTAATTATCCCGCTCACCAGACGCTGTAACGAATGTTCGGGCGCGATCTTCCATTTGATAAAGCTGTCACGGGGCTAGCGCCGCGCCCGGAATCAGCGTCGCCACTTTGAATATCTGCTTTCTTGTTCCGACTGGAATGTAAATCGCAAATAATGAAAAAATAAAAAATACGCGTAACGATCGGAGAGGAAAAGAAGATCTAGCGAGACCCCGAGGCATACAGTGGACCGTGGCTCACTTGCAGCCATCTCTTACCACCCGAGCGAGTCCCGTGCGCTTCTATCTCTCTCCTTCGCGTCCGTTAATCTTTTCTCGCCGTTTACTCGTGGGAGAAGCGGAGCACAACTGCCCGGGTTGGCGACGACGCAAACTGAGAAGAAACCGGACGGAAGAGAGAGAGAGGGAGCGGCAAGTCCTGCCGGAGGACTGATTGGGATCGAACGCGTGTGCTGGCCCCCGTGGCAATTAAGGGAAGTGCGCCTCGTCCTCATTAATTAAAAACAAGGTATAGGGAATAAGGGTGGGGGAGGCGACTGTGTCCGGAGATGTTCATCTAAAAGCAAGCTTATATATATATATATATATATATATATATATATATATATATATATATATATATATATATATATATATATATATATATATATATATATATATATATTTTTTTTAAAGCAGGGCACTATGACATCATCCTCTCTTCGCTAACGTTTCGACATAATGGCTAACGCTTTGAGAGAAGTCTGCCTTAATTTCTGTAGCGGTGGGCTGGGCTATACGACACGCTGTTCGCAACTACAAAAAACGTTGCTGGCAACACTGCTCAACTAAACAAAGATGGTTGCGGTATCTGGGCTGGGGACTATATTCGCAGGAGGAAGCATCTGAAACCTTTGTGAGTGATAGCTTTCGTGATGTGCTATGTCTTGTCTGTTCCATTCCTTCATATATGCATGTGAAGTGAATGCATGCTTCCGGTACCATTTTACTAGGCACCAGCGTCGGCTAGCCAACTGGATCGATGTCTGGTTAACCTTGAGCTTCCTGCCTTCTCCCTCTTGTATCCCTTTCTTTCTGTTATTATCACGGTGTTCCCCATACTTTAGCATATTAGAGTTAGTGTTATATTCGAGATTTTACCTGTGCGGTTATGATTAGGATAATTAAGGCGAGCTGGTCAAATCCGAGGTATATTTGGAAGGATCGAATGAGATAAAGTTTGGACTAAGAGATATTTCTAGGCGTGCTGTATGTGAGGCCATCTGACACCGTTGGTTTGTTTATTTGCTTAAATGAAGATGCAAGGTGAATGAACGCAATCAAAATGCGAAATTATTCAGACAAGTGTTGGCACTATCTGCAACGTTCCCGTTTCCGGCAGTGATGGCGAGCTCCTTTCTGCCCTGTTCGCGCGTGAATTCTGCGACTAAACAACTGCGCGGACGTTGGCAGCGTATTTTGGAGCGTACGCACACTATAGAGCTCCGTTCGCGAGCCTTGCTATACGCTATCTGGCACACAGTATTCGGTATTCCGCTAAAGCCAATGCGTAGCCTCCAATATACGCAAGTACTACACACAAAGGCTAGAAACATCTGTTAAAATAGGTAGCCACGTAGAGTCGAACTTCGGAAGCCAGTTGCATATACTACGAGTATGCATTTCAAAAATCACAACTTACCGTAGTCGTTGGATGTTGACGCATTCGCTGGGAGCCTGTTGCGATAGAGCTGGACGTAAAAAGGGCCGCTGTCTTGGAGCTCGAGAGAGCGGTGACTCATGGGAAACCGCGGCAAACCTCGTACATTACAGGTGGCGTGTACGGGCAAATAGGGTAGGTAGGCTCTACGCCGAAGACAGTGACCTGAAAAAAAAGAAAGGGAGAGGAGAAAAAACGTCCATCGCATTATACCGTCTATTTTGACAAGAAAAAAACAACAACAAGAAACATTTGGTAACGTACTTGTCAGATGGGCTCTATGTACGCCCGCGTGACAAGAATATTCACGACCAAAATAAGTTACCGTCAACTCATTTTGTTTTTCTTCGCTACATAACCCGCCTATGAAGTCTGCAAAGGCTTGTTTCGTTGCTTTTTGCTAGCACGAGCACAACTGTTCTTCAAGTAACACGTCTTTCGAGTCGCCCCTTTATTACCTTTTACGCTACGATTGAATAGCGCCCAGTTAGCTTAGATAGTATACGGCGAACGACCCAGAAATGCCCTCGTCGAGGGGCTCAAATCCCGAATCGAGCGCAGGTTTCCGTTTAACTGCACGCGAGGGTTTTTCGTACCCCTGAGAAACATGTTCGCGCTTTCTTCACAGCTTTATTTCAAAAAAAAAAAAAGAAAGAAAAGAAAAATATGACGGTTGTTTTCTCGTTTCAGTGTAATCCTTTCAGCGCTGGTGTGCTCAATTGCACACGTGACAATACGGAGAAGCGTCACATGGCGTCATTCTTCAAAAGGCTCAAGCAACTGTGCGTACATTTGCGCAAGCTTCCTGAGAGGATACCTAGTGATCAGTAACCTTCATTGTTCAGCGTATTGCAGCAGAGACACCACGATGTTCGACGTTCCCCATTCCAGGACCAACATCAAGAGTATTATTTCGCTGTGCTCGAAATGAGCACGGACAAAAAGAAAAACTGCATGCATTTGGGCCTAAGGTTTCATTATATTTATTCAGGAATAGAGACTGACTGATGGCCAAAATGGTTAAATATGTTATTATAAGATAATTATAATATTTTGCAGAAACTCATAGAATATTACAGATTTATTTAGATTATTGAGATGTAATATTTGACGCTTTGAAACTATGCTATACGAATTTTACGCATTTGTAAACAGTGCATCATGATTCGCGCCTGAATGTTTTTTTTTCGTATTTAGTGCTCTAAGTTTCCTTCACCTTCATGGGACAGATAAGACGCCATCATTTCTTAAGTCATGTACTATACATAGGCGATCTCCCATGTGTCCCTTATTGTCATTCTTTGTGATATCTCAAACTTATCTATACGAAAGAGTCACCTGAAGTCGTAGAGAACAAAAATCCACAACATCCAGTCGTTTTTTTGTGTTTGTTTTTGTACAATCATGAATTTGAAAGTAAAGAAAAACAAGTAAGATCGAAATGCTCCGCAAAAAAAAAAATGATAGCATGGAACTCAGCCTCATATTATGACGGACACAACATTCGGTATTTCACACACACCATGTTTTCTTGCAGACGCGAAGCACGGAAAGAATCCACAATACACGAAACGCATGACTGTTTCTATCCCAGCAGGCCTCAATGAGACATACATGACAGCGGAAGGATTCAATATCTATATCCCGATCTAAAGGCGATAGGCGACGAAACCGCAATGGAAACAGATATCGTGCCGCTGAAGTTTTCTGTCACACCCGTGAAGCTTCGTATAGCGCGCGCGCGAGGTGCAGCCTCTAACGCCAAAAGGAAGATGGGCGGGGATTCCTCGCTGTATACGCCACACACCAAACGTCTAAAAGGGGACGTTTCCAGCGTGGTTCTTCTCGAAGCGGGTGAACGAAGAATGGCCGAGTGATAGCACTGACAGGCTGCTAAAAAAATGATACCGCATAACTCCGTATCAAACATGCCTTGGGCGAAAGAAAGGAGCCGAGAAAACTTTTGAGTGAAGGGAACACACGGAGCCGCAGGAAAGCACAAGCGAGGCAACAAAAAGTGAAAAAAGGAAGAAACAGAATTTCAAAAGAAGCTTAAACCCCGTTATATGTACATATATAAAAACGAGGGAAGAAGGGTGAGAAGAAGCTGGGACTGACATGTGAAAGGCTGCTACCCCCCGCCACGCTCGGGCAGGGCAAAAGGGATTGCGAAGTTATTGAACTTAAAGCGGTAAATGCGCACAAATAACAAGCCGCGAGGCCCTTTTGCTTTATCTTAGTCAGTTCGCAAGTCCGCCTTCTCTATGTTCTTTATGTGATTTCATAGATGCGATATTTATCATATAGGTACCGAGAATGAAGTTTTCCCTCTCTTTTTCATGTCCCGTAAGAAACAGGGAGTTCTAGGGGAGGATGAAAAAGCTGGCCATGTTGGTGAAAAACGAAACTCGCACCGGCCAAAGGGGGCCGAGGAATAGAAAAGCCAGTTTCCGCAACTAAACGCCTAGAAGGCGCGTCCGTAAAAACAAGCGACGCCAATGGGCAAACAAGAGCCGAGTGTTAGCGCCAAAGCCTGGCCCCTCGCAGTCATAAGTCCAGCCTTCTCGTTTTCTTTTTTTTTGGTCCTCTCTATAAGTCCATGGCTAAGGTTTCTGACGCTTTCAAGATTGAGTCACTCACAGGATTTGTAAGAAAGAAGACTCCCAGAAACGGAAGCGCGTCTCGAGGAAGTTTAAGGCGCGCATAGAGGCGAAATGAGAAGATTCAGTCACGAAACAAAAGCGTGGGACGATCGATAATGCCTTTGCCAGAGTAAAGAAAAAAAAGAGTGGAGAAATACAAGCTCGCTAAATTGCTTCTGCGAAATTAAGAAACTCAAGAAAAATATTTTGTACTCGGGATGATTGCGAGATCTTCGCTCTATTTTTCGCCTTCTCGTGACGCAGATGTTCTTCTTTCTCTCTCGCTTTCTCTCTCTATGCTGTGCGCGAAATGAGACCGCAACTCAATTCCGGAGCTAAATCGTCTGAAGGAAGCAAAAAAAGAGGAAAAAAACAACAACACTGATGCATGTCGGTGACGGAAGTAAACATTGACAGGCACCAGAAGCTGTGCTGCGCGTCTTCAACACATTGCGGTAAAATATGCTGACGGAAGTAAGACACCTTAGCTTTTGCGAAGCACCAGTCAGTTAGCAGTGCGATCCTTTATTAAACAAAAATACCACGGTGAGAAAGGGAAGGAACATCGCCGAGCTTTCTACAACATATCGCCCTGTTGGAGCTCGAAGCGCGAGTTTTTCTGATGTTAAACTGGAACATCCATAAGTATTCTTGCGGCATTGAAGCGTATAGAGTACTATAGACAACACACAAAGTATATACATATGGAAGCCGTTGGTGTTTCCTGTGCCATGTGGTCCGGATGACTCACACAGAGTCCATAGAAGGCAAGGTCTAACGTTCTAAACAATGTTGACCATCTGGAGCAGTGTGCTAAACGTGCATTGACAAGGTTTTTTCATGCAAAATGCTCTTCATTTATACATCCGATGAAATTCGCACATCGTTCTTGACTCAGCAGTCTATGGAACCTGCTTTGACGTAGGAAGCGCGCGTATATAGGCCAACTTCGAATATATATGGTTGCTGCCTTTAAGCATAAGTATTCAACATAAATACTCAGCCTCACAAGAACTCGACCATTGGCATCAATTGATTTTCGAACATTAGTCAACATCTACAAGGATTATTTGATATCAGGTTTTGATAAAGCGTTCGTAAAATCATTACACAAAGAGTAAGATAGAAGGAGCAAGGAGATCAACCGAACCATCACATAGATAAAACAACTACACCACCACCTCACGGTCTCGGAGCGAAAAACAGTTCCACAGAGCATCCACCCGTCTGGACCAGGCTTGTTGCAGAAGTGCCGCCAGTGCATACAACGGCTATCACTTCGCCATTTTTTGCCTTTCATACAGTCGAGCGCCTGGCGCACGCTCAAACAAAAATAATACCAGCTGCTAACAGATGCCTCAGGAAGGCGCCAAAGATCATTACAGGTCATTCATAAAAGAGAGAGAGAGAGAGAGAGGAATCGGTCCTTCGACCAGAAAGACACGGGAAGTCAGTGACCACCGTGAGAATCCACGGGCCGGCACGGCGCGCGAGATTTCCTGCACGCGAAAGCTATCGGCGATACGCCAACGCACGCGCAAGTATAGGTTCCACATTTCGTATCCCTTCCCATTTGAAAAAATGTCATAATCGGCATACGCCACATAGTCAATAATGTCGTATGAACACACATGGATCGCACGAGCTCTCGTGTGATCATATATAGGGGATAATGGGATATGTGTCGTACGTGTCATGTGAGATTTTTGAATAGCGCCTGAATACTAATTTGCAAGCACACGAGCATCACTCGAGCTTTGCGTATTTAATCGCGTGTGCGTTTTAAAGTCACTTCTGCACTGTTACTGCATCTAAAAGTGATAATACTGCACATTCGCTGATGCACACGCCAAATATTTACAATCACGTATATTTGAAGAAGGGCTGTGTTTACATTCTACGTTTTTTTATGTATTTCAAAAATTGAAAGATTTGAATTATCTTCAGCACCACTTAGCTACTACTAACACCTTCATTAAAAGTAAGGAAATGTCTGGCTACTTTCAAATAACATGTATAACGAGTGCATGATGAAATCCAGCATCACAGCCTCACAGGCCCCGTTAGTATAAAATAAAATTACAAGATACGATCTTCACAGCATGGCCCAACACATCGAGTGCCAGCAAAGCGAAGCCGGCATTGATACTGATTTAATCGACCAGGTTGAGCGATTGGTCGCATACGTGCAATACCAGCTCAAAAAATAACCATGCCAATCAACCTGTCATTACGTCTACGGTGGCACAACTTGCGGCTCTGCGTGGTGCCCACATCGCATCCCAAAGACCGAGTAAATAGGCTGTGTTTTCGGAATCGAAACCAGCCTTACAAGCATGCGGTCAATTCTTCGACGAGCATGCCACGCACAGCTAACGTACGAGATTGTCAAGCTTCTTCACCACGTCACAGAAACAGGCCACGAGGTCAATTTTCAATGGCTACCTGGTCACTGCGGGATCAGTGGCAATGATTCTGCAGACAACGCGGCTAGCACATCCCACCAAAAAGAGC